TGACAGGTGCCGTGATAACCAGATAATCAGTGTTATTCATTTCACCAGTCAGTGGTCCTAGTGTGTTGGCTGATTGGTATATATCGATAATAACACTGACACCGGCCATTTTGCATAATGACTACTTTCACTTTTGCTTCAAATTTTGAATGCAGGACATTTATTTGCATTGGAGTGCTTTTATAGTGTGGATACTTTAATGTAAGTAAAGGATCTGAATATTTTTTGCAACACTGCAAAATATGTAAAATATCAGCATCAAAACATAACAAATAAGGACATGGAAGCGGAAAAAACAAATGTAATTTTATGGAGAATCTACAGGATATGAAGAATGTGCATCATGCTAACAAATTTACTACTTGAATTTATTCCTGTAGCAGTCCAATTACTTGATATTATTACCAATAAACCAATAAATATATTACCAATAGATGTAAGGCTGTCTGACCCCACAGAATCTAAACATGCTTGGCCAACACATCAGGTCCAAAGGAGCTTCCAAATTTCTCAAGTCTTTTGCTATCACATCTCACCTTATCTGTCAACACCATTGTTGCTGAGGAGTAAACTCTAAATCTTTTAAAAAGTGGAACCCTAACATCTTCTCCAGGCTGTGTCCTGTCCAATAACTGATATTAATATGAGCCATCTGCTCCTCTTTATTCACATCCTCTTGTGAACATGTGAATGATAATCAGATACTGTGCACAGTGGTGGATGATGACTTTTTTTCCTTTAGATTCATCTTATCAGCCTGCTGCATTATCACCCATTCTCACAAAATAATGCAATTAGATACGTGACTTATTTCTTTAGGGGAGAGGGGCTCACAATCAGTATCAATATCTTTTTATGCAATCACATCGGTGCTGGTCAATAAAGGGGGCAGTGACACCGCAAGGTCACCACGTGTACATGTTGACTTAAGTCTTCCGTTTTGCGTCACCCTCCTGGACCCGAGCAGGCTTATAAAGAGGAACACACATCAGCGCTCTAACACACTCGATTTTTTTTCTCCTCTCAGACTGAAAGCAGGTATGTTTTAAATTTCATTTGCATCACTCCTAGAACAAAAAAAAAGTCTTTGTTACTTTCTTAACAATGGGAAGCTGGCGCTGAATCTTAATTACAAAGAAAGAGCATCAAATTATCCTAAAGTTCTGGATTTATCCAAAAGTTTTGCTTTAAGCTGAGGTGATTTATGTCTTAATACTGACATCTGCGTGTTTGAAATTCAAGCACAAAGACAGCTGGAAATGATCAGCAGTTAGTAATTAGATTGTCAGGAGCGCACTGGCCGTAAATGGAGCTGTCCAGTCGCTGTGGTGCTGACGGACGGGGGCGCTATTCTTAAAGAGAAAAAAACAACAACATGTAGGCTATTGCTCTCTCCTTTTTAATGCCATGTAACGTGAATAAACAGCGACCTGTCCTTCCTCTGCAGAGACTCGCAGCCAAGATGAGACTGTACCTCGCCGTTGCCGTGTTGCTGCTGGCTCTTGTGGCATACACAGGTAAGTCAGGTGTATTAACGACGCGCTCAGAAACGTCCCCGCTGCGTTTCTCCCTCACATGTTGTGTAACTTTCCTCTGTCCATCTCTCACCTGCAGAGGCTCAGGAGGACACTGTCGAGCGGAGTTTCGCTGAGTTTGGCAACCAGATGACTGAGATGGGCAAAAACCTGGCTGAGAAGGCCAAGACTACCATCGATCAGATTCGAGAGAGCGAGTTTGCAGTCAACTCAAGGTAGGCGCGCGCACACTTCACATAATAAAGCACACGCTCAGATGTTCACGTGCACGCTTTGGATGTGTGTAACGCAGTTTTGTGCTCTTCCACAGGACCTGGTTCAACGACCAGTTTGAGAAGATAAAGACCAAGTTCGCGGAGGCGGTCCAGTAGAGAAGTTAAGTAGACAGGTCTCTGTCTCCAGCCTCCAACCTGCCCTCCGACCCCCACCTCTGACCTCTGACCTCTTCACTCTCTCCTGTTGGGACGCTGATTTGTCACATGACACGTTGCTCTGCTGACTGATGTTTTTAATGTAATTTGAGTGTAAATTGTGCATTAAAGACATCATAAAATAAAAAAATGTTTTTTATATAAATCCTGTGTTACCATCAGTATTTCTCAATGTAAAGAAAATAACATCTTAGTGTACTGAAGTGAAAGTGGGGGAGTTTGTTTGATATCAATAAATGAACAGTTCTGGTCTATGACAGTATGGACTCTATATATTACATAAATCACTGCAATTTACTTCCTTCCTTCCTGTTTTTAAATCTATTACTGAGTTCTAAAATCATGTTAAAATTTATAATAAGTGAAAAAACAAAACAATTGAAGGTTGTTTTTTTTCTCAGTTTAGTTATAAAGTATATATATATATAATTCATGAGACAAAGGAAAGTGAGATGAACTCAGCCCTATGACAGATTCATTCATGTTTTTTGCTTTGCATTAAATACACATTGTCTTGAAATAGTACATATTCACATATGTAATCATATTTACAAGATACATAACAAGCAGTCAGAATCAGAACGAGGTTAATTGCTTTATTTAAGTTTTCACAAACAAGGAATTTAAATACCAAATTCTGGGGCATAACAGCCAAAATAAATATATTAAAAACCAGAAATAACAAAAAAAGAAAATACTGCAAGCCAAGTTAAAAAATAAAGAATTCCAATAAGATTTAAAAGAGTTGTACAGTTTTTTTTCTCAAACAAATAATTAGCTTAAACAATTATTAAATTGTGTAAAAATTGAATCTAAGGTCAATATGAAAACGGTTGGAGGTGGACAATTAAAAGATTAATAGACTTGGCTCAATTCAGACATAAACCCAAATTCCAGACTTGAACTTCATTTAAATATGTCTAAATATGTATAGTTACATTAAACCCAGATACCTCTGTGTTTCATGGCACTAAAAACCTAATCATTACATGTATAATGAAGTCCCATGTTAATGAGGTTTTTTTCTTCTTTTTTAAGAACAGTACTTCTCGAAAGAGAGCAGACATTTCAATAAAAAAATACCATGAATCCCTGAATGTGAAAACACAAGTTTGCCTCTATCAGTTCATTGAACAATCAGTGACCAACTGATCACAATGTGATTGAATTGATACTTTGATCAAAATATTAATTTATGCTAGGGTCAGTTTGATATGAGTGGGCACTAAAGCTGATATCAAAGAATAGCCAGCAGTATCTGGTCGATGGTAGTTTATTTGTGTTAATAGCTCGTACCAAAGGGCAAGTGCCAACATGACTGATTTTCTGGCATTTCACAACTCCTGGGCTAAAGTCACTGTTTATGCTGGGTTAATAATCCACCAGTTGTCCCGGTTCATTGAGATCAGTTCCTGTGAAGAGAACAGGGTGACAGAGGTCAGCAGCTGGTGCAAAGAGGTCACAGATTGCAATTCTTAAACTAATCACTTTCACTTTGATTAGTTTAAGATGTCAAGTAAACTGCTACTTCTTCATCAGTCACTGAACACATCCTTTTCAACTTTTCCCTAGAATACATTGTACATGTTAAGAAATGTTTGTGCTTCAACTGTGGGATTTTGAGGAATATCTACTTTTGTGATGTAACTAAAAAGCAAACTTAATCCTAAAATGAATGATGTTAAATTATTCTTGTCTGCAACCACTCCTGCCTAAAAGCCATCACAAAGCTCTGAAATAATGGGGCACTATCATTTTCAAGATTTATACACTATACAGTATATGTAAACATACTGTATTCACTACATCTGAACCTTTAACACTCTTGTTTTCAAATCAAAATGTTATACCTACATACTTGGATTTAACACACACACACACACAGTGTGACACACATCTTTAACACAGTACAGATGTTTAAAACCCAACACACAATTTAAAAACAAGGACAAATCTTGATCCCATCTGTTTAGACAGCTGTGAGATCAGGTTTGTAAGTGCAACATAGTTATGAACTCTAATTTCAACATGTGTTGAATTGTTGAGAATGTGTACTGACAAGATTAAATAGATTTTGTGGTGGACTCTGCCCACAGAAATGCTTTGCTTGGCTGAAAATGTTTATCTATCTTTCACCCGCCTCCGGTCTTCACTAAAACCCATATCTCTCCTGCAAGAACAGAGACTTTGACTAACCTGTATACATATCAGCCTCGCCAAATGGGTCGAGATATCTGATCGAAAGGGCGCTCGGACAGTTACTGAACTCAGCTAATGTTGATCTTGAAAAGATATCAAGAGTTCAGTATCCGAAGATCGAAAAAGCAATGTGTCTTGTGTATACAAACACTAACAATGTAATCCAGCTGACAATTAACAGGGAAAAGAAAAACAAATCACATTACTATCTGTGATAGATAAAACCGTCACCAACTCTCATGTGACTCAAATGAAGATCACATTTCATATTAGGAGAATTTTTGCCTTTAATTTCTTTCTTTCAAATTTAATTAAAGAAAAACTAAACCTAATCTTTCTAAATGCTTGTTACTTGATTTGTTTGTACATTTTCCGTGTGCATGTGTGTATTTTTCTTATTTGTGAAAATGTCAAAAGACTCTAGAAAGTAGACCCATACTTTGTGTTTGTCAGCAAAATGTTAATCAATCACCTGTTTTTTTCTCGCTCTCTCACATTTTCCTCAATAAAGCGACAAAAACAACACGATGAATGATCATCCGATCTAGACCAATGTACACGCTGTTGAGGTCACCTAATACAAATAAAATGGCTCGATAACACTTGTTTCATTCAACTTCTGTTGACCAGTGCTGGAGGAAAAGGTAAAATACCATTTGAATATGTGTGTTGTGATGTTAATGAACCTGTGGTCAAATGTTCTTTTGAAATCTGTGATTTTGTTATGATGATTTTATTGCTGAAAAGGGACAGAGTTGAAAGAAAACAATATTCTGTAACATAATGTGCTGAGAATACGGTAGGTTGTAGTTGTGGCGTCTAATGTGAACTGCAAATGGATTACGATGGCAGACAATTTCTACATTATAAAAATAATATTATGACAAATAAACTTCTGATGGTTCTGTTTCTCTCCTCTCCTCCTACTTCTCCTCTCGTTGTGGCAGATGCATATGAAGGAGCTTGTTTTCTGTCTTATCCTACTAATGCAAGGTATGCCTTTAAACAGACTACATTGTCATTGTCATTGTCTTTATTTTTGAACTTGAGTGAAATGACAAACATCCTCCTCTGCAGCATGTGGCCCACTTTTGGCCCAGACACAGGCCCCAGAACAACCTGACGCTCCAGGAATACTGCAGAGGCTGACGGAGAAAGCAAGGTATATCCACAAGCACTCATCATCCACTTGCAGATAATTATTGCAAGTGCAAGCAAGTGGCACTTTTCTGCGAATGACTGCCAGTTATCAGAATTGTTACCAAAAATTTGGTACACATTGAGTGATTGTGTGTGCTTTTTAGAGCTACCTTGGTACTCATTTGTGTACTTTTGCACGTCATAGGGAAGCCAAAGCTAAAGTCCAGGATTATGGGGGTGCAGCTCTGGGCTTTCTTGGTGCTTATTACGAAGACCACATCCAACCATGGGCCTCTGGTGTCAAAAGCTCTGTGTGGGAGAAGATCCAGACTTACATGCCATTGAAGGCAAATAGTCCAACTGATTAACCCCCTCAAAACTGAAGAAAAGCTGACAATAAATTAATATTCTTACCACATGACATGTCTACGATTCTTACCACTCATGGTTGAACTGATCATGTTTAATGGTTTCATGGGACTTGCTGATTATGTGAAATACAGAAAGAATGTAACTAATTTATTAATTTATAAGAAAACCCCACATTCACTTAAAAACATCTGGTTTCCTTTTTATAGTAGAGGTTTCTGTATGACCCCTGCTTGTCCTGCAAAACGGCAAAGGTAAAGATGATAAGAAGCTGCAATGAATTAAATAATGTGACCAGAAGGTACATTTGCAAACATTAAATACATAATATGATTTATTTACAAAATGTACAAGTGTAATGTGCAGTTTCTTAGTATAAAAATGCACTTTTGCCACAGATGATATTTCCCTGTAAATACATTTAATGAGTTATATTCAGTTCTGCTATTGAAAAAATAAATCTTGCTATTTTTAGTGACCAACATTTTAAAAATGATCATTTATCACACTGTCTCAGGGTATCAGGGTGAAAGGTGAAGGCAGAAATCCCAGCATCCATTGCTCTTGGTCAGCACAGTGTGTCTAGACAGGTCCTGGTTGAGTGACCTTTTGACTATTTCATATGAGCAGACATTATAAAGTGATTCACAATGGCTGTCAAATAAATGCTGGTTAGTAGGAGTTAATCTACTTAACAGTATCTTTTATTGCAGCAGGTAACAACACACTTTAAACTGCTTTAAAAGCTTTGTTTGCCATACAGGACGTGACAATAATGACACACAATACATGCGCTATGACACCACTTATGCAGTATCAGGAGGGCTCCAAGTGCATCGCCATATGACTAAAGATAAATTTACATCTGAGGAACATTGCATAACCACTCACATTTCAACATACAGTATTTAAAGTGAATATCATGTACACTGGACTTTGTTTAGGTGAACATGTGTGTGTGAGTGTGCACGTTCATGCACGTGTGTGTGTTCTGTGTGTGTGTAAGTGTGTAGGTGTGTGTATGCTCATCAGATGACGTTTGTTTGCAGTCCCCCCCTATATCATCCAGGCCAGATGTGAGCTCCGAGTTACAGACAACTCGCCTCCAGAGAAGACTGTCACTTCTTGGATCTGTACATCCAACTCAACAGCAGGTAATCGCTCGTCTTCATGCAACAGCTTCTCTTCTGAAGCTACTTCTGAATAGATCTTTTTTATAAAACTTTGAGGTAATTTAGTTTTGCATTAAACGTCTGCAGTTTTATAAACTTATTCATCATCTGCTAATGTTAAAATGTCAGATATGGAAAGAAATATTGGTTCACCAACAGAGAGTTCAATTTTAAGATTTTTTTTTTTTTTCTTTTGTTTCAGACATGAATGCAAAATACGTCCTGGCACTGATCCTCGCTCTGCAGGGTAAGGCAATACACCAGTGCAATTTGAACAACTGCAGTGCACCGATTTGATTTTCAACTAAAGCTGAACTACTATGTGACAGAGAGCCATCTGTAACAAATAACTTTCATTGCAAATGTTATTCACTTTTCAGACTATCTGCATTCCATTTTGTAGAGATTATAAAATAATGTTTTTATTGCACTTACATGTGTGGCAATAATTTTATGGACATGGTTGCATGGCTGGCTTTTACACTGCTTTATCTGTGGTTAACATGAAAGATAAAGACTGATTTTGAAATAACAGTGGGCTGCGGTGGCAGAAATATGATTTTGGACACAAGTACTGTACTATGAGTGAGAAACCAAGATATGCAAAGCAGCTTTATTTTGGCCCTTAAAGGCCCACTCACACACAAACCCATATACAATTGCTTTGATAATTCTCACAGTTCTTTCATATTTACATCTCCTGATGATCATTTTGACTTATTCTCATTCAAACATTACAATCCTACCTTTCTGATTTCATTCCAGTCTCTGTGAGCCTGTGTGAAATTCCTGATCCACCTCAGGATCTTGTTGAAAAGTATGATCAAATGAAAACCGTGTTCTACAAGAGGCTGCTGAATGCTTATGGCAAGCTGCAGGCCGCTGCCGCTCCTTTGGTGGAGAGGGTTGGTGACAGCGAGCGCGGTCAGGCTGCCAAAGACTACATCGAGGACCTGCAAACCAAGCCTGAGTTCCAGGCCATCGTCAAGGTTGCCACGTGAGTGAAGACCCTGTATTGTTTCACTGGCTAATGTTAGAAATGTGTCCACTTCAACTACAAATTTGCTGTGAAATACTACCAATGTATATCTATATCTTACAATTTCCACTGAAGATATAATGTGCACAGAAAAACAAAATTAGGTGATATTTTTACCATGGTTATGTAGTATGTATGGCTATTAAATAATCTGTCTCCCCTGATTTGTGCAGTGGCCTGGGTCAGGAGGCAGCTCCCCTGGTGGACAAGGCCCGCACAACAGTGCTGGGTCTGTACGGACACTACCTCCGCCCCCAAGTTGGCGATTACCTGAGCGACGCCATTGACAACATCAAGGTGTACCTGGACAAATTCATGCCCGCTGAGACCAACTGAAACAAAACACCTGTCAACAGCCTGTAATAGATGATAGCTCATAGAAACTACACCAATTTAGGCTGAGAAGAGCAATGCACAATGCAAATACAATCCTTTGCCTCTTTTCAAATCAACATCCTTGCCAAATCGTGCAGAGTTAAAAGCAAGGCAAACATGTCAACATCAACTATGCAAATTGTGCATGTACAGTATTTTGTGTTTGGTACACTAACCAAAGTGTGATTGTGTATGTATATGTGTGAGTGTGTTCATTAAAATGAACTGGAAACTACTATGAGATGTGCTTCTTCATTAACAGATTGAACATGAGCTTCCACAGTTAATATAATAAAGCTTAATTTTCTGGCATAAGTTATCCTATCATATTCATTTATGAGCAGAACGAAAGTTCCAGACTCCACTAATCACTGTGTTATATGGTTCTAGTTTTAATTAAGCTAAGTAAATAAATAAATACAATTAAAATACAAGAACATCATCCAATGTTCCAATCCAATTAAACATTATGGAATTGTTTGGTTTTATCAGCTGCTACTTTGATAAAATTGAACTGTAACTGAAATGCTTTACACTGGTAAACACAGACACAAGACATTAATTGTTCTCATATTTTTAACAAATATATTTTGTCATCTTTACTTTGAACAAAGCTCTTGGGTCTCAGGCTCATGTTGGGCCCAATAAATCAAACTTTGTTCCCAGAATGATGAAAGATTATACCAGCAACCTTTATATTCTGAAATTATTAATGTGTCTCACTGATCAAAGCTCAAAACCACACGGATCATCCCTTGAAATGAAGGTGTTGAAGCCAATTTATCAGTGTTGTTACACTGATCTCAAAGAATTAGAACTTACTGAAGTATTTCCTTTATTTAGTGTTAACATATTTCCAGTTGGCTAAGCCTAAGGTAACTTTGAATGATGGCATGTTGTGCCAGAGCAGCAGGAGGTGCTAATTCTTCATTTGTGGCTCATTTCCAAGCATTTTTATTACATATACAAATACCCCTGTTGTGTAATTACAGTGGTCAAGACACAGAAAAAAACAGAGAAAACCACTGATAAACATCTCATCATTGTTTCTGTAAGCACGGCCAGCGCCATTATGCAGCTTAATGTCGTCTGTAGCAGGAACTAGTCTTTTAAGTACCAAATAAGCTGGATTTCAATCAAAACTGCAAACTGCAAAAAAAGTTTGAATCCTACTGCTGTCCTCAAACTAAGGACACTGAGGACAGGAAACTGACCTGAGCTCTCGGGTCACAGGCAACATGACATGTGAGGCTGGATCACGTGATTGGCTGTGATATTTACTTAGGACTTGATCAACATGTAGCCATTACGGAGAAAATTGATTCTAAAACACATGAGAACAAAACAGAGACTTTAATATCCTCCTCTTCGTAGTTATACACAACACTCAGGTAACTTTAAAGTGAATAAACTTATTCCACTGAAGTTTGATTATTAATAGATACAGTTATATTATGAACGTTATTTTTTTCTCAAAACAGATTGTGTACATATGATTTGCCAAGGCAAGAAAACAAGCATTTGCACTCATTAACAAGAGCCACAATATTAACCATCAGATTACCGGTAAAGCCAAAAGGTAAAAAGAAGCTAAAATGACAAAACAATTAAGATTAAACAAATTAATAAAAATAAAAACCCAAAAGAATTAAAAGTTAAAATGTATTATTTTGGATAGGATATCAAAGGGTTAGTGTTATCCTGATACAACACAAATGAGAACACCACAAGAAAAACTGAAAATAAACTAAATCAAACGGTCTGCACTTTGTACCTCATTTCAAATCAAATGACATGAAGGAGAAAAAAACATTTTATATTTCTCCTGCCAGAAAATCCGGTGCTAAAATAATTGTTTCTCCATTTCTGATAAATAACCAACTGATTAACAGAAGTTGTTTTACACACAGACATAAGTAAAAGAGGTTCTATTTCTCCCCCCAAAACATAAAAAAATAACCCCAAATGAACTTTCATAAGAAAGTGCGGGAAGGTTAACTGCGGCCCAATAAATCTAATCTTAGCTGGCCAAAATATTTCATAACCTGAATCAGCTGGATGACGTGTTCAACACACTCTAGACTTATGACCATCTTAATAGGACTTTGTTCACAATTTGGACTATTGTGATGTGACATGAATGCATTATGCAAGTAACAAGTGCCTCCTTGTAGAGGTTGTGAACAGGGCAAGGTGTAAGACTGTGCTGCAATAATGAACTACTAACCTAATCAAATCAAATAATTGATTATGGTGTATTTAGTAGAGTTAGGGTCACACACACATACACACACACAGGGTCACACAACACACATGTTGATGCATTTCTATCACAGTTATTGGGAAATCCATCAACATGAGGCATCCTTGAGTCCCCGTGTTTATAAAATCAAACCAGACTAAATTCCAAAGTGGCTTTTGATTACGTTTAAAGGCTCCTTTGATGATTTATTCACAACCTCTTGTTGACACAGATAGCCGTGAAGTCTGTTTTATCAAGACAGAATGTCACACAAACTCCCACAAACACACACCGGACAACAGCACAGGTTTATCTACCACAGAGTGCACTTTGGCTCTGGGAGCGACAAGTCAACACATCGCTCCTATATAAACAGGTTGTGCCAGCGATGCCTCTTACTCTGTTTTTTTCATCACAGTCATTCCTGGAGAGGAATACAGTGAGTACTGACACTTTTACTTCAATTGTTGAATGGGATACAGTCAGAACAGTCTTAGAAGTGCATGAATGTTGTGTTAGATATGAGACTATTACTATGAAAGAAAATTATTATTCTGAGATATGTTCAACAGAATGGCAAGTAAGAAAGGTATGACAATGTCTCACCCTAGTGGATAAAGTTAGGTAAGTTTTAATTGTCTCTTAATTCTCTCTCCTCACAGACAGGAGTAACACAATGAATAAGCTGCTGGTCATTACTGTGCTAGTTGCATTCCTCGCTCTCAGTAAGTTCTCATGACCATTACATTGAATTATTACTATAATAGGATAAATCATTGATGGAAATATACATTGTTTTCTTGATGAAATACCCCTTTGACCCCTCTGACCTGTTCTGTGAAGGCGCTGAAAGCTTCCGTGTGCCAAGGCAGACTGAAGAGGAAGAGGGGACCCTGGCCAAGATCACAGGTACCTTCAGGTCCTACTATGACGGTGCTGTCAACAGTGCCAGTGGATACCTGGAAAGCATTAAGGGCCTGAAGCTGGAGGAGAAAGTAAAGTAAGAGATTTTTTAAATGCAGATTCATTAATCCAGTAAAAAAGAAAAAAATAGTGTGGATTTATATTTAAACTCTTTCTGTGTGTTGTCCACAGGAATCTTTACACTGATACTACCACAGTTGTGAGCACCTACGCTGGAATTGTGAACGACCAGATTTATCACATCTTTTACTCCCAGTAGTAAACAAAAACTGATTTCCAATTACCTCAGCTACCTTTTCTGACAGAGTAAGAACTTTCAAGCTCCACACGAAAGGCCCAAACGTCATTTGACACTGTGAACTCAGTCGTATCTCACCGCACCCAAGCCTCAAAGCCTCAAACAGCATCCTCAAAAATACTGGACCCAGAGCTCTTTGCTGCGCTTTCTTGGACCACCACACTGGTGGTAAATGATGATAACCACCCAAAGGGGACTGTTATCCTTTGAAAAAAAGCTTACACAGAGGAACTGGACAGAACAACTTGGCAAGCGCAAGCAAAAGAGCACACAGCACCTTATCGTGTACCAACATTTTTCTCCATGGGTCTCAGAATCAGAAAAGCCATGAAAATAATGCAAATATTAATGATCTAACGCCACCTACTGGTGTTTTTTGTTTTCTCACAGTTGACTAAAATGGTCATCACTGAATAAATTTAACTATGTGTGTCATATCTTGAAATAAAATATTTATACAAAAAAACATGTCTGTGGTTGATAAATGAGAGTTTAGTTTACTGTTTGATTTAGTAAATCGTGCATATTTCTCCTGTTTGTGTAAGACCTGTGTTTCTTTTGATCTCATTGAAGGATCACGTGTTTGTGTCTGCATGAATCTGTGATGAGGCACCAGACTTTTATCAGCTGAGGCAGTACCAGAACAGAGGCTTCTGTTGCAATTAATAATGGATGAAAAGAAACATGCAAAATGTGAGTGCAGAGAGAACGACGCAGATGAATAACAACAAAGACTGTGAAGTTTGTTTTACATATTTTCTGACATCCAGTGATGCAAGAATGTTGTGATTTTTAATTAATGCATAAATCTACAACATGTGGCCTCTTCTCGAGCAAATAATCAACACAAACAAAAGAGATAAATTTGCTTTCAAGTATCATCTTGTTTAGTCGTTACAAAAGATGTAAACTAAACCAGACAGACACAGGACAAACTATTCATTCGTGGGACTATGGTATTCCAGTACTTCTGAGAAAAAACACGTCTACTGCCACTACTTTTACTATGCAACTACTAAAGTTATACAGACAAATAATTTAGATACCAGTGCAACATGTAGAATCTGTTTGTAGCCCTGTTGTCTGTCCAGATTGGATCAGTATGAGAAAGAACTGTTGTATTTGGTATCAGAATTTGTCTCAGATGTTTTCTCTCAACTGACTGTGCTGTGATTAGGTTTGGCTTTCACACTAATGCGATTTAATCTGTGGGCATCTGCAACTGCTGCAAATTATTTTCATCACACAGCAATAGAGGAGGACTACTCTGGTAATGAAAACCTATTGTGTCCCTGACTTTGTTTTTTTCTTTTGTCAAGTGGATTCCAATCTTTGATTTGGGTGCATTTACATCTCTATCTAGAGCTGTCCAGTTATCAGAAAGAAGCTTGACTTATGATGACCTGTTTTTTTCATCTTATAGAAGAGATAATATACAAACTATATTAACTCAAATTTGCTACAATACGGCATTTGAGGACACAGTGGATTCTTGCAAATGCCACTAGGAGCACTAGGAGGAGCCAGAGGAACCAGGAACAGATTATCTGTCTCATTTACTACTGTTGGGATATAGTACAGCAAATACGACAAAACATTATTTCTATAAAAGTTACCTAATACAGCTTTAACCAATATATTAGGAACTGAATCAATAGCTGTGTATGACTGGATCAATAAAAACAATACGATTTTAAACAAATCTAAATTTAAATGAATGATTATTGGAAACTAGAGATGATGTAAAGGTCCCCAGTTCTGCATTTCTATACAAGGCTTCAGGATGGATCAAATTAATCAGATTAAATTATTAGGTGTTACACTTGAGCAATATCTGTCCGGGTAACTGCATATTGACAATATTGTTAAGAAAATGCTAAAGGGAATTGATAGCAGAAGCAAATGTTCTCCTCTAATCAAGTATAATTAGTTAACTCCTGAATACTATTCAGTTATATCATCCGCTGCCAATAAAAAGGATCTCAATAAACTTCAATTAGCAGTCTGCTTGTTTTGATGATGAAGGGAATATTTTTTAGGTATACCTGAATGTTTTTCAGCTCTATTTGAGTTGTCTGGTGGTTAAACACACACGTATCCCACTCAGTACATGGATAAATGACAACTAGTCATCCAATTTAAAACATTTAGGGCTGTAGAAAGGAACAAGTTACCAACAGAATTAGATGAAGTATTTTAAGGAAAAAAGACACGTGCCTAAAGCAGACTATGACTGAATCATGTTTTTCTATCTCTTGTAATCTTAATTTTCATGGATAGTACGATTGTTGTGCTTAAATGTAGCTGTAATTTTGCAATCATCAGCTTTGTTTTGTATTAAGGGCTTTGTTTTATATATATTTTTTCTTTTTATTTGGATGTCTTTAATGTGTGTACATAGGAAGTTTAGTAACAGATATGGCAGAAGCAAAAGAGGATCCAACAAAATAAACAAACCATATAAAAAACCGAGAACCGAGGAAGGAAATAATATGCAAAATATGAATCATTCCTGATGTTCTGGAGTTGTTTGGGGTCAGATAAATTTTTTAGTCTTTAGTCTTTTAGTCAGAAGTGTTCACAAAGTATACAATTATGTGAGAATTTAATTAGTTACCAAGTTGTTCCTTAGCCCGAGTAACACAATTTGTACTTCAATCAGTGAACCTTGGCACAAAAAAAATTAAAAAGTTATTATTTATCAACAGACAAAAAATATTTTCAATTAATATTATTAGCAAATATTCTGGTTTCCCAAAAGGGCAGCTGGAGTATTTTAAGACAAACCTGCAAAAATGGCATCATGGTAAAATATTAACTTTATAAACAGCATTGGGCATAATATCTCCACTTTTATCTCTTTTATTATTACTTCTTGCTGTGCTACAAAAGCTTTATTCATTTATCTATGGCACCATTGTTCATTTTAGAGGGCACTTAGCACAGACTAACCATAAAAAATGGTTTTAATATAGCTCACTGAGAATCTGTGCACAGTAGATTTTTGCTGATCTTCCATCTATGAAAAAGAAATAAACTTCACCAAAAAACTGTAAGCGGAATCTATTAATGTCTGAACAACATCATTCATCGTACTGTAAATGAGGGTCTTCCTTGTTCCCAGTAAAGGAACAAAAGGTTACTGTAAACAAGGTGTGTCACTCTAACTGATTGTACTGTGGAGCGGAGATGTTGAAAATTTCTCTGATAAGGTTATTACAAAGGTTACTGAACTGGAATGATGCTAGATAGTAATAAAACAGTCTGTTCCACCCACGGTCCGCTAAAAATCTGGCAGGTATAAAGAAGCCAGACTAATCAAATCAGCCATCACACACAATCAGAGCTACAGAAGAACACAACAACAACAACTACAGAGATACAGCATGGATCTTCTCCTTCTGCTGGTTGCTTTGGGGCTCGCAGGTAGAGATTCACTGTGTTGCGTTCAAAATAAAATAAATTAATATTAGATTAGACATTCAGTTTCTCTTTGGTCTTGTTGGTGCATTACAGGAGCGTCTCCCCTGGAGGACTACAGGGTGTGCCAGCCTCACTCCAGGCCCTGGCAGGTCTATCTGCATGGTGGAGGAATGTCCTGCAGTGGAGCTCTCATTAACGAATGGTGGATAGTAACTTCCTTTGACTGTACACCCACGTAGGTACTAGTGACTGTTAGTGCCAAATGAAAACTGCTGCTGTTACATTTTGATGTTACATTAAAGGCGTCTTTCTTGGTGTCTTCCAATATTAATGTAATTCTCGTAAAAGTCATTCAAAACATTTGATGAAAATGGCTTTTGGTTAAGCAATATTTTCACTAGCACTAAAATTTAATGTACAAACGATTTCCCATAAATATCAGTAAAATCATCTTTAGCCTTGGGAAAACATGGCTGAGGTGCTTTGCTAGGATTAAACCACTTACTTTTAAGTGGCATTTGTTTTACCTTTAATTCAGTTGCTGAAGCTTTTTCAGAATGACCTTCAGTCTTCAGCTCCTCCAGTGTCTCGCACATTTTTCCTGAAGAAATTAAAAGGCAGAAATTTTTATTTTTATTTTTGCTTCCCTCACGAAACATGATACATGATACATGAAAAAAAATTCATTAATGTAATGGTCAACAATTTTCTGTTTTTGAGTTAAAATATCTTCATTTGGGGGCTTTTCCAAGCAAATATTGATAAAAGCGTTTATTAAATCAGAATATATTTCTGCCATCCCTTAAAGCCTCCCTAGCCACACTATGAATATTTCTCTAGATCCGCCCAGTCATTTTATAGCAGCAACCATGCTGTGCTTATACATCTTAAATCAGCATAATATATCATTATAATCTGACGAGTCAATCAAGTAGGCATGCAGAGATGTGTCTTAGAATTTAGCTTTGTAATAATGTTGTTCATGGTGTTAGAGCGTGTTGATACTGTTTGCAGAAACACAGTAATGTTCCTCCTTAATTAAACCACATTCATTAACCTGCTGTTCATATCTGATTAAGGCTTATTGTTCCTCGGTCATTGGCCTGTTTCTGCCTGAGGCCTGAAAAGTCTGCCTGGGCTTAATAAATTAAAGTCTCTCTTTCTCTGTCCTTTCAGATCCTACAGAACCATTGCATCTCTTGGGGAACATGACATTACTGTAGAGGAGGGAACAGAGCAGCACATTTATGTTGCTGAAGTAATCCGTCATAGCCCCTACCGCTCACCTCTCCACAGCCTCACGATGGTCCGTCTGGCCGAACCTGCTCACTTCAACCAGTACGTCCAGCCTGTCCCTCTGCCCAGTCGCTGCCCACAGCCTGGAGAGACCTGCCATGTCAGCGGCTGGGGATCCACCATCCCAAATCAATGTAAGTGGATTTAAAGGTGGGACTGTGGCTGTTACGCTTTATTAACTTATCACCTCATCTGAATTTAGTATAATTGCAGCAAAGCCAGTGTCCCCTAATCCAGTCCATAAGTATTCACTGTCCTACAAGATTTTTACTCCAGTTTTCCCATATATATCTGATAAACATGTTTAATTGCGTAAATGTGTATCATGCCATCACCACTGTGCTCATACAGTGCAGGGTTGCCACCTTCCAGCTACCAGCTGGAGTGAGAGTATTTTTCTGTTTTAAAGCTTAATAAGGAGAGAAATACAAAATGTACACTTTTTCTTTCCTCAAGACTCAGGATGATTCTGATCAGCAGGTGGGTATGTACTTGTTAAAAAGAGCTCATCAATATTCTTGTCATTGCAGCTCTAACAAGGCATGAACGTTCTGTTTTAATAACGGCTAAAAATGGCTTTCTTTAATCAGAGGAGTTTCTAATTGGCTGTCAAAATGCCCAGTCAGTGATCAACACTAATTAAAAGAGGTAGACCTTGAAAATAGTACTTACTCAAGGTTTAGACTTTATGCTCCAGTGCAAGAAATGGTAATGCATAGAAATGGGACGTAATCCACAGACCTGCTGAGTGGAAGGAAGGAAGCTTTTGTCAAAGAATGAGTGGCAGATTGATGAATGATGGTACAGAATACAACGTCTAAATTGTACTTATGTTACTGATTCAGATGAGATAATTTGAAGTACTACATTTAAATGAATCAGAGTAACAACCCACCTCTTCACTCTTCGAATACAGATGAGCCTTCCCCACCACTAAAGTGTATAACTGTGCCTGTTGTGGATGACCAGACTTGCATGAACACGTTCCCTGAGTTTTTGTTCTGGAGCCCTCACATGGTCTGCGCTGGTCAAGCAAACACAGATAACTGCATGGTGAGCACAACCCAAAGACATCAGTATAAGTGTATTTCTTGCCTCTACACTGGCTATGCCACTTAATCTGACCTGCCATTTATCTCTCTTCCCTCAACCTTCCTCCCACTGTAGAATGCTGGTGGCAGTGTGCTGGTGTGCAATGGCCAGCTGCAGGGAGTGCTGTGGTTTGCACATGGCTGCAGAAACCCAGCTGATCCCAGCGTCTACAGCAAGCTGTGCACGTACAATAACTGGATCAACAGTGTGATGGATCGCTATGCACCCACTGTGCCAACTGTTACCACCCCAATGATGACGACATGAGGCAGCAGAGAGACTTTTATTCACAGATTAAATGTAAACACTATATGTTATAAACATTGCTTCTGACCGCTTTAGTGGGAAGGTTCAGTGTTATTAAAACTATGCTTAAACCCAAAGTTTGGGGGTTGCCCTTTCAGCTAATTATGCAAAACACAGCACTACAACATTTAATGAAAGTGATACTCTAGGTCTCAAATGTGAAAATTTAGCAAAAAATTAAAAATCTGTAGGCAAACTAACAAATGTAGATATAAACAACAACAAAAATATAAATAAAATGTCATGTATTCCAACACTTTATTCATAATTTTTAGTACACCCTTTACTCTGTGACTCCTGCTTTTCCCTCATTTGCCTCAGCAAACCATTTTCACAGCTGGCTAATAGCTGCTGCTAATTAGCTCAGGTTTTTTCCCCAGTAGATCATAATTTCACACATGCTGCTGTGCATATGACAGTGATGATGAATTAGACATGACAGTGAGTATTTGTTTTGTTCCACATGTTAAACACTAAAACCACTGAATCTTGCTAAAAGGAGAGCTAATATCGGACTTTCATTCATCAGGTGGCCAGAAACATAAGCACAAATGAATTATATTGTCGCTCCATTTACTGGATGTATAAAGAGGCAACTGTTTGCTAACATGTCAGCCATGTAAAGTTGATAAGGTATATTAATGTCACTGTTGTGTTTAAACTATAGTTATAACAAGATGAACATCCAACACATTAAGAACCAGAAAGATCAAATAATGCAGGTTTGTTCATTTGACTTTACTGTCAAGAACAGAAAACTGATCTTTACAAGGGCAGTTAAGGGTAAGAAATGTTGACATAACAGACTTAATGTATGCTTAATACAGTTCAAATCTATAATAATGAAAACAAAGTAAGTCAAACAGAATAATGCTGGTAATGAGGTGTGCCTGGGAATTTTGCATCATGTAAAGGCTCCCACATGGCACAGGGTACAGCATTAATGTGAAGCACCACTAGATGGGGGTAAAGACCAATGATAAAGAAACACACTGGTCAAAGTCCCAGAGAAAGAAGAGAGAGAGAGAGAGAAACAGACATCATGACAGCGTGGGCAGGTGGCATGAATCTTGCATTCTCTGCAGAGTTTTGTGTGAACTCTGATTAAGCTCTGCCGTGACACAAATATGTTCGTAAAAATATGTTATAGCAATAAACACATGGATCTGATGTAACAGTAGTGAGACAAAGGAACTGGAGAACACATGGGGGAGTTAGAGGCACACACACAAAACACACACCAAAGCAAAACAGCAGACCTGCACACATACACACAGTGTGCGCGAACACCACAGCACACAACAACAACAAAACAGACACCACACACACACACACACTTATGAAAAGTGACTGACAGCTGTGTCCATAATCACCCAAGCAGCTGAACATAGGGGCCACTCCACCATCTGTTCTCAGCATTTCTCTCCCGTTCCTCACTCCCTCTCCCCCTCTTCTGCCACCTCAGCGGGGGACAGAAGGCAAACTGGGGGCTGACTTTGGTAACTGGGACGTCACTTTAGAAAGCAGTGTGATATTAATTGGTGTGGGTTTTAAGAGCTTCTGTTTGTGTTTGTGTTTTCTCTCAAATGGGATGGCCATTGTTTATAATTCTGAAGGATGTGACTGGCACCAATTTAATGTAATAGCTACTGAGTTGCTAATTTCAAGCTTTTGTAATAGATACAATAGATACTTCACTTATTCCCTCAAACAGGATGCCCGACACAAGAAGCCTGAAATCCTGTGGGATCTTCACCCAAATACCTTCTTGGTCTCTTTGTATATTGAATCCCAAATGATCTGTAGTTTGTTATGGTATGTAGCATGTGGTCTGACCCCCTCCAAAGAGGTCTTGGTCCCTGGGTTTACCAGGTGGCTTTGGAGATCCAAAGCTTTTCTCTAATAAATTCAACCTGAACTCTCCAGTAATTGAAATAGGTTATCTCATGTGCTTCTGCAAATACCACAGTCAATTTCTTCTTTGTCATTTGTAGCTAGAATTCAACCTTTCATTTCCTCTGCAAATAGAGTCAAAGCCATTTAATGAGGTTAAACACTGATATATAGTACAGTAGTAAGGAGACGTATGATATATAACATATAACAAGACTAAGAGTCTACAGCCATGCTAACTGGTTCTGTGAGGTTGTTCTATATATACTGACAATGTGGTGTTTTGTGCTAAATTCTAATAACATACTCACAATGGCCATGCTAGCATGCTGATGTTAGAAGGTTTAGCCTAATGTTATCATATGTCATCTTACACACACAAAGTAAAATTTAAGGTAGATGATGGACCTAGAATAAAAGTTAGGTGATCACCAAAGTGAACAATTCATCTGTCCAATAGTTGGTGACACATTTCACTCAAGATCACAAATGTCTACTTTATGGTGGCATATAGGAAAAGTCTGGGGATCACCAAAGTCTTTAGAAAGCATCCTCCAAGATCCGTGAATGTTTGTAATTCATGCCAATCCATCACATGGTTGTTGAGATATTTTAGTCTGGACAAAACCAACTGACTGACTGAGTGATATCCCAGCCTAGAACCATGCCTCTAGCATGGCCAAAAACTATGATTAATTTATTAATGCTTTTAAAGGTAGGTGAACTCAAATTCCACAAATTGAAAAGAGTTGATCAACTGACTTCAGGAGGAATTGACATCCAAGCTCAACATTTCTCTGCCTAATGGCCCAATAGGATCTCTTTGGGGCTTGAGAAGAAATGTAAATGTTATCTTATAACAAAAACAAAACATTGTTGCTGTCTTGACTAGCAACATAGTTGCGTGTTTTCTCTAGGAAGACAGATGCATTCAAAATGACACCTTGTTTTTAGCCTGTGGAGGTCAGAGGCACCTTCCAAAGCTCCCACTCAGAATTTAATGGACTAACACAATCAGAAGTTGTAAAGATAAGATGACCTTGGTGGTCAGACGGATGTTTGTGCCCTTGAATACATTCTAGACACAAGTCTGACTCCCTTCACTTCATTTGTGTCGTTTCTTCTCTTTAGAAAAACATGCAGACATACAGATTGTGGATCGACTGTGGAATCCTCTTTCTCAGCCCAGTTAGCCATAATATGCTTACTTTTATTAATGGTTAACTATTGCTCATTTCCTTACTACCTCACTCCCTGCTTCCAACATACTGTAAATGATTTCCCAATTTCTAAATGTCCTCCCATCCTCCTCCTCTCTCTTCTGGCTTGCATAACTCAGGCATGCATGCATGGCCCATATTGAAAACAAATATCATCCTAAATTGCCCAAACACCATGGCATAAACTGATTAATGAGGGTATTAGAATGAACGATGATCCACAGGGGGAAATCTTTTTCCTGGGGTGTGACAGTGCTTATCAGTGGTTGGTACAATATCTGTAGAGTAAACGCGAGGCATCTCCCTCCCTTCTTCCATCTCCCTCCATTGCTCTGTTTCTCTGGCAAACTGTCGCCATCACTCATCACTGGCTTACATTCCCAACATTCCCCTGTGGCACCTGGCTCATGAGCGGAAAAGTGACGAACACGCACCCAGATGCACATTCACAAACACACAGAAAGTGCACATCGTACACACACACACACACCACACACACACCAGCACACACACACACCATCATAACACTGTTTTTCCTAACAACTGACAGGTCTTTTCACAAAGATGTAAATTAATATGGAAGCTCACTTACATTACCTCAAGTCTATGCATGTGTGTGTGTGTGTGTGTGTGGTGTATGGGTTTATTACTGTATCTGTGTGTGTTCTGTTCACTAGGCTAATGGCTCATTGTGAATAGCACAGGCTAAGTCAATCGATGCCGGATGTCGTCCCAGTAGTCCAATTGGACCTGTGTGCTCTAGTCCTTAGGACCGATAATTAGCCTAGAGAGAAGAGCTTTACTCTGATATTAGTGGTCGCCCACTAATAGCTACCACAGGTACAGACTGAGAGGCAGCAGTGTGTATACATGTGTGTATGTGTGCCATGTCACATGTGTGCGGATGGGTGAGTGGCAAAAGGTGGTGGGGATTGATGTCTCTGAGAGGCAGATGCGTCGAGTGCAATAAGGATTTAATCAGTTTTGTTGAGAGGATTTACCATGTGTTTGATGAGTGTTGTGGTATTGCGCTCTATAATCGACTAGGATATATCGCTCGATGGGATGTTAAGGACCCTACTCTTGGAGCTATCAGTCCTCCAACCCCAACACACCCATACACACACACACAACACACCACAACACACATACTCCCAACACACACACACACACCATCCCTTGTTTAGTTTTACCCTGCTTTTCTCCCACTCTCTCCATCATAGTTAGCACTATAGTGGATCAGTGAGTTCGCTCACACCTGCTGCACAATCCAACCCCAACAAACACACACACACACACACCTCGGAGACTGTATGTGTGTCTGTGAGTTTGAGAGATAGAGATAGAGGTGGGGGAGGCATTAGGCATTCATATTGGAAATTGCTGTGCATTTAAATGAGAATGTGCACTTTGGTGGACACAAGCTGTTTAGTAAATGCAGTTACAAAGTGCACTGCAATACCATGAGTGCATACATCTGGGGGGTGGGGGGTGGGTGGACACAATAATAGCATCATTGTACAATGCACTCTAGCTTCCCTCTCAATATAACAACACAAAAATTGCAATAGAGCTACATGGACCATTCTCTGACACACTTTCAACATAAAAATGTACTTTATTATGGCATCCCAAGGCTGAGTCCTTGCTGCAGCAGCTAAGGTTGTTCGATTGTACACGTTTGTGGTATTGTATCCAAACATTATGGTTTTTTTATATATATATGTTAATATGTGTTTTTCATGAAAGGGAGCAACTACATCACTAGATGGCACTAAATCCTAGACACTAGTCCTTTAATACACATTAAAAACTTAATTTCTCTGTAAGGTTCATTCCTCACATTAATTTTTAGAGTATTATGCATAAACAAACCCACAGCACAGACAAAATCAAATGCAAAAAACACAAAAGGCTATAGGCAAAGGCTTTTTTTGCTGTTATAGTACGCTAAACATGCGTGTGTTTTTTATGCTTATAGTGACTATAAGCATAATGTTTTAACTATTTTCAGTGTCAAAAATGATCAACATGGGATCACGTTGCAGTATTTTTATTTAAATTCAAATATTTCTTT